GTTGTAAAAAACCAAAAAAACCCAAAAACTAAACCAACCAAACACAGCATTACCTTAATTAATTTACTGCAGCCCAAAACTGTACTTGATACAGTGTTGCAATAAAATGAGTAGCTGGACTGTTTGAAGCAACTCTGCATTAGGAAAGAATAAGATTTAAAATAAATTAATTAATCATCCCTGTGCTTTCATGCTGAAATAAACACGATTTGTCTCCTACAGTTTCGGAAGTGTCATGCATGTAAATTATGAATGTGATTTTAGTGATGCTGACTCCATAAAAGTGAACTCATGGAGAAGAGAACTAATGACTCGTAGGTTTAACTCAGGCTTGTTTAGTTCAGAAAGTTACTGCGCTGCTTCCCAGTTTATGATTAACAGAACGCTGGACTGCAGTGGTTCGTAATACCTGCTGCGTTTGACTAAATTTTGCTGCTGACTGAAACAAGGTATAAGGAAGTCTGGACCCTAGTAAATTGCCTTTTCAAAATAAAACACTAAAAACTGCCATGACTGGGTTTTGTTTGGGGGGTTAGATTGATGCACGACTCATGAGAAATGACAGCTGATTGGTTTATGGTACGACAACAGAAAAGGATGTGCAGCAGGACCAGAGGGACCGAGTAAATAACTTTTTCCTCTTGTGCCATTTCAATTTGAGGCAAAGCTTTGCAAGCTACTTTGCAGCCCACCTTCAATCCAGTCCCACCGTTTCCTGCTGTATCCAACTTCCATTTCTGTTCTCATTGATGTTTTGTTTTTGTTTGTTTGTTTGTGCACAGGGTGGGGGTTCTTCTGCTTTTCTTCGTGTGATTAATGGACAGGAGCATCTCTGACCAGAGCAACTCCAACAAATGTAAATGACTGCATGCGGAAATGCTTCTTTCGATTATAACAGCCCTGACTGAACTAGTGTTTATAAATGATCATCAAGTTCAATACTATAGTGTTTGGACACTTAAGTCAGTGGGTGATTCCACAGTGACTCAGGCCTGCCACAGGATATGTGCCAGAAAAGACAGCTAATTCAAACCAGCTAATTCTGACTTTGTTTCCAGTCAGTTTGTTTATGTCTATTATAGAAAAGCTGACAAGCCTTGTATTAAAAGCTTGTACTAAGTTCTTGTTCCTCCTTGATCACTGTCTACAGCTGTGTGATTTTTTTCCCCCATATATCTTAATCCACAAATAGAGAACTGACTCCATCTTACCCAGTGCACTTTTCCTATCAGCTGTTCAAAGATGAATGAAAGATTATGACAGCGGACGAGAGGTGGGGTCGCCAGTCGATTGCAGGGCTAAGACATACCCACACCTACCGATCAAGCATTTTTTTGGACTGATAGGAAACCAAAGGAAGGTTACAAGGTCCCCTTTTAATTAACTGTGTGGGTTTCTTTAACTTTTTTTTTTTCAAATCAATCGATTAATAAATGCAGAAATTTCAGGTTGTGTCTGGCTTCGACTCACGTCCGTATTCCTTGTTGTTATTAGCTTAACTATTAGCCAGCAGCAACAAAAGCAAACTCACTAACAATAACTAATGTGTCAGAGGGAGTATCAAGCTTTTTGAAAAACACAAAAACACATACATTTTCATTTTCTGTGCCAGCACAGTTTCATTGTGAGCAAATCGGGCTAAACAGTAACTAACAAGCCAAATTTCCTACAGCAGCATCAAGACAAATGAAGGGTGGAGTTAAAGGCGATTTGGTGGCTGAGTGCTGGCTGGCATGGGATGATGGGAGGCTAAGAGCACTTGCATGAGTCTGACCTTGTTCCTGGTTTGCGATGAGGTAAGCCATACATGCAAATAGGCAGGTATAATAGGACACTGCTTCGTTCAGGGTAAAAGAACAAGGAGAATAAACAAACATCTAGCACGAAGCATGCCTACAGGATAATGCTGACACAGTAAGAGCATTTATAAGGAAGTTAATTTATCCTTTACTCTATGAACAGATTACCTGCAAAATGGAAGAGAGGCTGGTTGTGTTACTGAGCTGGAAAGAAGGATCTAAGCCAGATAAACTACAGCTTTTCCATTGGACACCAAAGACAACTGATACATGAGAAAGCCATTGCTTCCATTTGAAACTCAAACTGAAATAAACAGCTAAGCTTACAAGTTCAGAATTCATGACAAATGCCCTGTGAGGCTTATTGCACACAGCGCTGCAGCGAGCTAAATCCTTAGGCCTAACATTGTCAAAATGCTGATCGATGCAGGTGCAGTTTGTTAGTTAAGTTTGTTAATATGCCAACATCTGCTAAATAAAAAAAGTCTTTAGTTAGAGCTGAATATCATTGTTTATGAAATGTATGATCCATCAGACACATTTGACCTAAAAGTAATTGAGAGATTTTTAAAAAGTCATCAAATTATTCCTGATATTTCAGTCTGGTATAAAGTCATTGGCCAGCCCAATGACACTGACCGACAAGCTCCACTGACATGAGCTAATAAAAATGCAATGATAATATGTGATGACTCAATAAAAATATTTCAGCTGTTTAATTACAAGTCACACTGAAAAGAGTTACTATCAATCTCAGAGAAACTGTGCCACTGAACGCTCGCTCTGGGGCATGACCTTTGGCGATCAGCTGAAGCAGCTGAATCCTCTCTGCATCACTGAAAGCACTGTGGCTGAGGACTGAAGCCAAACTACAGCAGAGCAGGCAGAGATTTAAGTGTTTTAAAAACAAGGCCAGAGCCAAATTGTGCAGTTACTGGGGAATTTCGGGTGAAGGGAACACAATAAATAAACACAGAGACAAAAAAAAAACACTGCTTAACTGTTCCCCACCTAACCACTTCCACTGAATCATGCTTCATAGTTACAAAAATACCCAATGTCCCATCACTATATCACTTACTATGAAGTCACGACTATTAAAATATGCTTCTTTTGTGAAAGGTCACTCATCAAACCTTTTCTGTGGAAATAATTCTCAGCCTCCACTCGTGTTGTGTGGACGTCTGAAGTCCCTCTTTTTTTTTCCTAAATCAAAACCAAAAGTCTCATCCTGCCTTTGTTGTGTGTCCTAAACATTTTTTATAGCATCCATACTGCAATAAAGAAATAAAGATTATTATAACAGCCAAGGTCCCAGTGATCCAGCCACATTCTGTGCAGGAAGTCCAGCAATTTCATGTTTGGGAAATCATCTTCATTTGACTCCAACTTTAGCTTTAGTAAAGATATTTTGTCCAAATGAGAAGATGTAATAAAATATCATATCATCACAGAATGTGTTCACGACCAACAAATCCAAAGAAAGGGATAAAAAAAAAAGTCCATCTGATTGCAATCATTTATAATAATAAACAGTAGCAGTAATGGAAATGCTTAATTTCTTATCAAAAAAGAGACTCTGCAGTTGCAGAGTGAAGTAAAACCAGATTTGACACTTGGACAAAATAGAAGAAAGCTCAAAAACTTTTTGGTAGTTGACAACTTGTGTTTACAATGTGTTTGACACATTTATAAGCGATTTATAAGCTTCTCGTGTCCTCACTGATTTACAGCAAGTGCAACAGTAGAATGAGTCAGCACTCATGGGGTCCATCAGGCCAAACAGCAAAGTGGGGAAAACTTGGCTCCGTAACAAAGACGTATGGAACCGATTGAGGAGTGTGTGTGCACACTGCACCGCAGCGACAAGACTAACGAGTTCCCCAGGTCCACAGAATGGGTGTTCATCCTGTTTTCAGGGACAGGGCTTGAATTCCAGAGCAAGTCTCTAAAGCAGTGATGGGTTTGAAAATGGAGCACCAGCTCTGAGATGAAGTATGCACCTCCCTGCTGGAGAGACTAATGCAAACCAGCTGCTCTCATGCCGACTTGCTATTCAGCATCTGGCAGAGAAGGAACCACTGAGCGATGCTGGTGTCTGCTATTCTAGTCAGATACAGTGACAGACTATTTTCTCTGCACGAACTGATACTCTTCTTAACCTCTTGTAAAAAGCTTTAGCAAGAGTGTGTGAGTGTCAACAATGTCTACAAAAGCTGAGTTAAATGCTGCAGGATTGCATATGTTGTGCTGACTGGATATTATCTCAACCAAACCGACAGGTTTTAATGCATCACCTAGGAATCGAAGAATGCAAACAGCTTTCAGGTCTACCTGTTTTAAATGGACAAAGCATGTTTACAGTCTGAGGTACTGTACAGACACGTGGAAGAGGTTCCTAAGTTGAATGGTGGGTACGTTTTTCAGTTGCCTTTCAGGATATTTCTATATACAAGCCACAAAAAAAATATTGCAACCCCCCTTCAGATAAACATTATGTCTCCAACATCAATGATGCAGCCATATCATTAAGTGGAAATGTGCTAAAAGTCTGTATCAGCTGTTTTATTAAGAGGACAGGCTTGAGGAAATGTTTCCAAAATGCAAAACATACAATATCTTCCATAACTTCTCTTTAGGTGTGTTTTCTGCCGGCCTGGCATTTAGAAACCAGGAAAAACCTGCCTCTCTGTGATGCAGCGATACAAAGTAAGGTGCACACAGTGCACACTCCACTCCACCTGACACATTGTCCTCCAAGGCTAACCGGTTTTCTAACAAAAGAGACTGAACCTAATTTATCAGTGCTTTCTGACTACTTTCACCACAGGCAGTAAAAACTATAAGTCTGCCTGAAACAGCCAAGGTTGCCGCTTCTTATCGTAGGATATGTTACACTCGTCAGGGATCAAAGATTAATAAAGCAGCGATTGTGGTTTAAAAGATTTTTCTGTTAAAAGCCTCCAGTGAAGCAATCTGTGAGCTATATTTATGGACATGTGAGTTATCAGTTCGAATTTCGTTAATATTACTTAAGAAAACTTTCAATTAATATTTAAAATAAACACGTTTAACACCCGAGACAACTTTTATAAGCAGACTAGAAGAAGGAACCGCCGCTCCGTGGCAAATATTTGGATTATGATGACTATATTAAACAAATAGTGCCCTACTATCTCAGCCAGTGTAAACACCGCTTACCATCCTCTGTCCTCACAACAGTCGCAGTCTTCGATGTCGTATTCCCTGCGATCCAGTGTCTGAGCGAACCTCGGGGAAGTTCACGCTGTTTAAAACAAGGTCTGACTTGTTTAACCTAAAACCAAGCGACCAAATCCAAAATTATTCCCGGTAAACTCCAGACAGCATGGATGCAGCTCCTTAGCGGTGCCCTCCGTCCATTGTTGTTCAGTCAGATGTGAGTCCTCCACTGACAGAAGCACAGCAGTCCTCAGACAACCAGCCGGATGGTCAATTTACGGAGGAGCAGTGCCCAAACAGCCCGACTCTAAACACAACACGGGAAACTCGGTCCAATCAAAGCGCGAGTGTTGTTAAATATTCATTAGCTCCTGGAGGGAGGGCAACTGGGCATGCGCAAGTTTGTCGTTCCCTAACAACAGACTCAAACATAAGAGGACGACTAATAAACATGAGCTGTCTTCAAAGAGAGAGCCAACAGCAAGGCAGATGGTACTATGATCCAGCGCAGGGGCGTAGCTTATAATGTCAGTGGGGTCTTAGCTTTTAGGAAAAGTGGCAAAGGAAAACTCATACAGGCTAAAGGTCGTGTTTTCAGATTACAGTACTCACTGAATGTTATAATACACTATTTCACGATCATTTCTACAAGTCTGCAGCTAGTAGAGACCTTATTCTAAACATTTTATATCCTGCATAGATGCAACAGGGTCGTGTGTATGTGTGTGTGTGTGTGTGTGTGTTCCTGTCTAGCTATCTTTGTGAGGACCGAAATCTGCATTCTACTTATGAGAACCAACAGGACCTTTGTCTGTGTCCTCACAAGTTTGAAGCTTTTTGAGGCTCAAAATGTGGTTTTAGGGTCAGGGTTATAATTAGGTTGTGGTTAGGGTTAGGGTAAGGGGCTGGGGAAACCATTATGTCAATGAAGGTCCTCACTAAGATAGCTGAAACGGGCTTGTGTGTGTGTGTGTGTGTGTGTGTGTGTCTATGTGTGGGGATGTATGTGGGTGTGTGTGTGTGTGTTTGTGTGCGGTAGAGAGTGTGTTTTAACCCATTACAATAGATTACCTACATGACCAAAGTATTGCTGCAGAGCAAATCTATAAATGACCTCAAAACTGAAATACTTAACTACACTGAATAACATGACAAGTGTCTAAACATCATGTTATGTACAGTATTAACCAGGTGATAAGAACATCTATGAATCTTAGTTATTTTAACGGGACAGTAATATTAATTCTTAAACCTAATCGTGAGTAATTGTCTAACATGCTGATGAAGAAAAATACTGTCAGCTTTATTCAGCAACTTTTAAGATCCACTACCAAATTAGGTATAGAGTCAGTGTGTAGGCCAGTAATTTAAAACATAGTTACAAAGAAATGGTGTCACAGTCTAACAGCATGATGCAGAAAGGACCTCTAATCTATTGATTTGCATTTATGACAGCATATAAATCCTTTTCAAAAAGCATGGAGGGGAAGAGATGGATCAAAAGTCCAAAATGACAAGAGTTTTAAGCTTGCTGGTTTTCACTAAATAAAGGATTCCATTTTGACATTTTAATGGGGCAGTGTGTCCTGGGAAATACAAGTTTCAGTCTGCGTTCAATCTAGTAAATACAAAACATAAAAAAATACTTAGTAATCAGTCTAAATGACATAAACAGTAACATTAACTTATTTTTAGAAACTCATTTCCACTTCTGCCTGTTTACCCTTTTTTTTAAATTTGGTTGCTCCCAAATTTAGTTCTGTTTTATCAGCAGACAAATAAAAATGCAGCTCAATGGCCTTTTAGAAAATCCCTGTTAAGATTTTTGGGTGGCACTGGTATCCAGTTCTCACAACCAGTCTCCAGTCAGACTGAGGCTTGCCTTGGAATAATGTTGGGCGGTCAGGCAAGCCTCTGGGTGTAACCAGTGTAGCAGGGTGCCTCTGTATGCATAGACATATACTGTGTGTGTGTTTGTGTGTATGTGTGTGTGTGTGTGTGTTTATTTAAATGGAACAAAATAAATAAATAAATAAATAAATAAATAAGAGATAAATGATTACAAAACGAAAAAGAAAAAAGTTTTCTACCATCTCTGATTCTTGCGATGCATTAAAAGATGAATCACATTATGATTTGAGTCAGTCTTGGTGTTTTATCACCACCGTGTGGTCACTTAGGGAGATGGCAGCAATTATTACAGAAACAGAACAAACTCAAAACCTTTTTATTCTCAGGAGCTTACAATTAACTACTGTTTGTAGTAGTAGTAAGAGTAGTAGTAGTAGTAGTTGTTGGTGTGTCTGTGTGTGCGTGTGTGCGCAAGCTTCTTTCTGGTTTTATTTTTATAGAACTGCATGGTTGTTTTTTGATGTTTTTATCTTTTACAGTAAGCACACTTTTAGTTTACATGTAGTAAAAAGTGCTATAGAATTAAAACTGTCACTGATATAATGAAAAAGCTAAAAAATTAAAGATATTGATATATATTGAATCATTAAAAGGACTGAATGTTGGTGTTTATTGGTATTACTCAGTTGTATATAGTATTTGTATTTGTATTCTATTTTTATCTTATTGTATATGTATTTTATTTTATTCTACTGTATATAGTATTTTATTCTATTCTGTACAGTTGTGTACTGTATTTATTCTTATTGTATTCTAATTTTTGCCTCATAACTTTTGCACTGTCCACTTCCTGCTGTGACAAAACAAATTTCCCACGTGTGGGACTAATAAAGGTTATCTTATCTTATCTTAAAGTGATTTTCATTTTTATGTTCATCTCTTTAATGGCTTTTGCCCGCATTGTGTCTTTGTCCTGTCTCCCTAGCCACACCCGATGCTGATCCTGGTTTTGCTGGAGGTTTCTTCCCGTTAAAAGGGAGTTTTTCCGTCCCACTGTTCCCAGGTGCTTTTTGGGGTTTTTTGTCAATTATTGTAGGGTCTTTACCATACAATATGATACATCTTGAGTTGACTGTTGCTGTGATTTGGCACTGCATAATTAAATCTGAATTTGAAATTTGAAACTAATTTAGTTTTAATATAAAATGAATACAACATTAAAAAAAACTGTGGACAAATGAGCTATTTGGCGTATTTATTAAAGTGTGAAAAAACCCCAATTCATTGTGAACAGTTTCATGGCTTCATCACCTGTAGTTGTGGGTTTTTAATTACGAACTTATTTCAACGAGAAAACATTTCTGGATCTTATTCAATGTACAGCTCTTTTTTGTTTTGCTTTTTGAGTTTAAAGACATTTAGTTTGGGAAGTGGTAGTATACAATACAGTACAAAACAATAACTTCTTTATTAATAATCTAAATGACATAATAAAAGTGCTATGAATGCATTTCTGTTATAAGCTTTGAGTATCATGCTAAATAAAGTTAAGCAGTTGCGTTGAAAAAAACAAAAACAAAGAGGAAAAACTAGGGCACGGTCGGTCGCCTAAGTTCTCTCTGTGTCTCATGGGAGTTGTAGTCCATAAGTGGTGCACTTGATGAACGCAAAAATAATTGTTGTTTAAAACTTTAACATGACAGGTTTATACGTGTTTACTATCGCACACAGTAGCAAATATCCATTTAGCAGAGGATAAAGACAGAGTGCCTTCCTGTCCCCTTCCAGCTTTTCGGAAACTTTAATGAAAGACGATCTCGGAGTGGAGTGGAGCCCGGAAGCAGGGCGGGACCTCTGCTCTGTATAAACATGGCCGTTAAATCCTTTACAGCGTCAGGTACTGCGTTTGGCTGAATTAGTTAGACTTTGAGGAAGTCGGTAAGGTTAACTAAAACTGTAACAGGTGTAAAGAAAATGTAGACACGCAGCCAGTGCGTCTTATCTTTTTTTTCCCCTTAGTTTTTTTTTCTGTGCATGGGAGCGACATTTATAAACTTGATATAGTACTTTAAGCTAGCTAGCTAACACCGAGCTAACGCCGACGTCTCAGCGTCAACTTCTGTCAACTTTGTTCTGCCAGCCAGCCTCATCTGCTACTTGACTACTTCACAAAATGAAGGACTGCCGTCGTTTGCCCACAGTGTCTCAATGAATGTTTTACACACGGATATCTTGGATTTGCTCAGCTAAGGGCTGACCTAGAAACTTTCTCCAAGATTTTCCCTTGGATAGTTTTTATTATATTATTTTTAATATTACTGGCAGCAGGATATCGTTTGCCAGGCGTCCGTTTGGGAACGTAAATTACATAAACAATGTTTCCTGCCAAAGTCACGAAACCGACCTTCAAGTGTTATCTTCCTCCTGCTCAGGTATGTACGGGCTCATGATCGATAATGGTACAGCATATTTTGGTTAGCGCAGTAATTGCCTGGGTTGATTAACACTTTGTTAACTTGCTGTTCTACGTGTTTGCGCATTGTCAGATAAGTAACACATGAATTGCACATTAAGCATCCATGCCAGCGGAGGTATCTTCTTTCTGCAGCACCATCGTACCATAAAATAGGGAAGCACTTCACCACATTGCTTTTGCTTTACGGTTATATATGTCAAGTGAAAAGTCACAAGGTGGCACAAGCAAAGGAAAAAAAGCCCCCCACCCATTTCTCGTATAAATTCGAGAAATGAAACCTTTAACAAACATACAGCTAATGTGCCACCATTTTGAAAAAGAGAAATAATTACCCAGCGGTTGGGCGTCTCATGTTTTGCCTACAGGTGTATGCAGCTCTAGACAGAGGGTAAGTGTTTGCTTACAGTCGCTGGCGGAGCAACCCAAATAAAACCAGTGCTTGTCTGAGAAAGGCCAACACAAACATTGTAAGGGTTTTAAAGTGTTTTGTATCTGTGTGACTTAAAAAAAAGTCGCTGTTTTCAAGTACATAATAAGGATGGCTGTGCTCTTTTGATTACCGAGCTGGTGATGATAGTGTTTTTGTGTATCTTGATTATTTAAAACTGGGCATTTCACATTTTGGGTGAGGCTAGAAGTGATGCACTTAACAATAAAACTTCAGCAGGATGGCAGTTCTTCATCAAGTTGTCCTGAGTTGTTGTTGTTGTTGTTGTTGTTGTGGGGTGGTGGTTTTTTTTTTTTTTTTTTTTTTTTTTTTTTTAAAGTAAGGTTTTGATCATTTAAAAAAAAATTACTTTAATTTTTCTTTGTCAAGCATTTAAGCGCAGGGATCACCAGATGTTAGTTTTAAAATAAAACCATAACTGTGTATAATATGAGTATAAGCAGTAACATGTAGAAATTTTAGCCCAACGTGTAAAAGTAATTCCTGCAGCTGAAACGTAGTGTTTTAACCTCACATCCATTTACTCAATCTCAAAGAGTAGAGCTTTACTTTAAGCACACAGCCGTCCCGATACTAACAGACTGTCACAGCATCACAGGAAAGTTTTTAATAAGCATTTGCTGACAGCTGTACATGCTTGGTGCCTAATTTTGTAAGCAGCAAAAATTAGGCAATGATATTGTTACCTGGGGCATGCTGATGGTGTTTATGCAACAGTAATTTGCCAAAACAGCAACAGGATGTTCAGCTTGAATGCTAGGAGAGCACAAATTAATTTAAACTATGATTTGCGGGGTTCGTACATTGTAATAACACATTTGAACGGCAGGTTTTACTCTCTTACAGTGTAAAGATGCATAATTTTAATTGTTTATTAACTGTCTGTAGAGCTGGTAAATGACTAACTAAGATGTGGCGTATGTGTGTGTCTGTCTCCAGACTGATGTGAAGAATACAGTTGAAAAACCTCTTAAAAAGTTGGAGGCAAAGTTGCTTTCAGGTAAGATTTTTTTTTTTTCTGCATTAGAATAGTTGTCACTAAAATTTGTTTGATCACAGAGAAGTTAGTTTTCATGTTTACACGGTGTCTCATATTTTGCATTCATGAGTTGTGTGCTGTGTATAATCTCTGAATGAGCAGTTTTTCATTAACTAAGACGTTTTGTGCTTGGTTACAGAGGTTTACTGCTTTAAGCAGAGAGCAGGCAGAATTATCTAATAGTTATGCCTGATTATTTTTCTTAGTGATTTCAGAAATGTGAAATAGTTGGTCCAAAATGAATGAAAAATGAATGGTTTTGTTTCAGTAGATGCGGATGAAAGAGACATTTTATCAAAAGCAGCTATTCTATTTCAGTTCACAGTACAAATTTGATACCTTGGGTGTCTGTGAGAACTGAGCATAAGGTTCATGAAATGGAGAACTAGAATGAATGTTTCTGCTTTTTATTTTTTGTTTTATTCTAGTAAACTATTTGCAACACAGGGTCGGTGGTGCATTTCCTTAGACAGCTATCTAGTGTCAAAGTCTCAATACTTGACTATTAAAGTTTGTACAATGCCCACCGCAGACTGACTTACTGGTAATGGCTCCAGGCAGTTTTTTTTGCACATAGACTGTATATAAAAGACTGCCCCTCTTCTGGGTCTGAAAAGGGAAGGCGGTGTAGAAATGTCCTAAACTTGCAACCTGGTTGCTAGGAAACAAGATGACATATTACATGTGCAATGAAAGTTTTAATGAAGTCTTACTGTGCTTGTTCTTGTTTTTATCGCAAGTGGGTCATTTTAGCCTTTTGGCACGTGGTTGATAGGCAATACGATTGTATCATAACATCTAGTCAACTGCACTACAGCAGGTGCTCTGGCAGAAATTCCTCTTCATAACTATTTATAAACGTCACCCGAATGGTGTTTTGTCCTGTCAACATTTTTTTGTTAACAGGAAACAACAGCCTTTAAACTTAGAAGCTAAAGTGGATTCAGCTTAGGAATCTCAACCGTTCAAGATGTGCCTACTGATGCAAATATTATCATTACAATGGCAGACTGTAGTTGTATCATTAACTGAAACAGCAGGAAAGCCTTTAGTTTAGTAGTTTCAGTATTATCTGGGAGCTTGTGAGCCTTGTGGAAATGGCTCCACAAGGCTCTTTGTATAATATACTGTAAACTGAGCCTAATTTTGGTTGCAAGTCTTACTGTTTTGTTTTTTTTAATGAAGTTCTTCAAAGCTACTGTTTTTCATTTTCAGTCATGTGACATGTAAAATTGTAGTTTAATAAAGTGTAGGCTAATTTAGGTCACAAGTAAGATGACAGATTTAACTAACCTGATGTACTAGTTAGGAGGTAAATGTGGTATTGCCTGAAGGCTGTTGGTTATTTCCCTTTTTGAATTGTGAGCAAGACAGACTAACAGGTTACATGATTAGCTTCCCTATTTTTAACTGTGCAGTCTCAGTTGACTCCTCTGAGGCAGGGCTTTGAATTCGCCTCTAAAGAACTCCACCCTCTGTAACAGTTCTCATCTTTTTAAGATTTGCAGACCAACCTTTTATAGCCGGATTCACGTGAAGGTACAAAGTCTGCATTGCTCATGTAAATGGTGTGTGAAAAACGCTGACCCATTTAGATATGGGAGAACTGAGGGTTACCGTCTCACTTGTTTTTTGCAGACATTTAAGAGGTGTGTGAAGAGAATTGGCTTTTAGCGCCAACTTTTTAAATTGTTTAGTATTTGCTTTAGAAGCATATCCTTTTGCAGTCATACATGAGAAACGTGATCAGATATGCAAGAGTGATCTCAGTATCTTGTTGGCTCAACTAATGTACTTTCTAAGGAAAGTACCCCAATGCTTGCTGTGTTTTTTTTTTTTTTTTTTTTTTTTTTTTTTTATTTTAAATCATCGTTTGTAAAAACGTAAAGAAAATTGAAACGATGGAGACATCCTTTTGAGTATGAAGACATTTGCCCCTCCAAAATCCAGCGGTGGAGGGCCTGAGTTAACCCGAGTCCCATCAGTCATCGGGTCTAACCCTGATCTAAAACGTTAGTTTCTCATAAAGCATAATAATGTTAAGTATTTCTTTCTTGTACTCTTCCTTCCAGTATTATGAAGTACAATTAACGTTGTTAGACTGGGTGGACTTGCTTTTTAAATCTGATGTGACATCATTGTTAAAGCATGCAAAGACTTGTAAAAACGCAGATACTTTATTAAAGTCTTTACTTAGTAAGAAGTTAATAGCATTATTATAGCATTACTGCTGTCTACTTATTAGTTTGCGGTAAAGTTTGTGGGATTATTTTTAATTGATGTGTATCAGCATGCATTGGTGTACTTTGCAAGCTGTGACTATTTTCCTTCTGCACTGTCAGCAAAACCCAGATCTGAGCTACTGCTTCACCATCCATCTTAACATATCAAGTAGCAGTAGATGGTAGATGGGGAAAGTAGCTGCAAGAAATTGTAATGATTTTTATTTATACAAGAGCTATCATGCACGCACAGGCAAAAGAAAATGCACTCTCTGGATATTGTTTATAATTTACGATATATCACATGAGTACGGCTGTGAATAGAGTTTTCAGGTACTCGTCTTGATTGAAGTCCATGTTTTTATGACTCACCTGTGTCTGCGTATACTTCAAAGTCAGCATTGTTTGACTTGTGATATGATTGTTTCATTTTCCCTCTTCTCTAATTTATCTAGGTCAGCTTAAGTATTCAGGCTTCTTTGCTTTCCTTTGTCCTCCTCTGATGGCCATTCATAATTTAACTTAAAGGTTGTGTGGAAATTTTTTGCAGTGTTAATCTTTCCCAGTATAAGAAGCATAGAAAATGATTGTGTAATTAAAATTTTAAGCAAGGTCTGCATGTATAATTATAAGTTCAAGAGATGGTATATGCAATTATGGAGTATGCATTTTGTCCAGAAAAGTATTCTGTCAGAATTTACTGTTTATGAATGTATGTAAATATAAAGCATAAATAAAACAGTTTGATGCTGTATTGCAACATGATACCTTTTTAAATTGATGTCAGTATAGTGGAAATACACAAGCTGTTTTTTGGACTTCCTTTGAGTTTCCAATTTTTGTTTTCTACTTGTTTCTTTGAATTGCAGCAATAACCTTTGGATTTACACTGGTCTTTTTGCTCATTTATTTGTCACTAGGTGAGATAGTAGTTAATGAGGTGAACTTTGTGAGGAAATGTATCAGCACTGAAAACAACCAAGAAGGCCTTTGGGGGAAGCTGATATGTACCAACTTTAAGGTGTCCTTCATTCCTCAGGACACTTCACCAAAGCAGGTATTTGAGTGGATTTCTTAGTAGCAGTTAAGCAATTTAGAGGAAAAATAGTGTGAAAATTCATTTTTGAGGTTCTTAAGAGTACCTAATGTTCGTTTGTCTTTTGTTATTTTTATTTTTTTAAGGGGGGCAAATTTCAATTATATATTTGGATGTGATATATGTTAGTATCGCCAGCACCATGCTGCAGAATAGATTGAATACTGTTCCTTTACAGCCTTCTTTCAAAGAGGAAGGAAAACTCGTGTACTTTCCTGCTCTACATTGTCAGTGATATCGCACAAGAAGTGAGAGAACAGACGTCATTTCCACCTATGTGGCAGATTGGCGACTTGATAAGAAAATGGAACTTGATCATTGCTTAGTCTGGGAAAGTTAACTCAATATATCAAACAGCCTTTTAAGACCGTTTTCAGTTAGTTTTGGGGGCTAATACATTTTCTGCAACACATCAAACCTACTTTTTTGTTCTTCTCCTTTCACTACAGAAGTCCACGTTGTCCCACCTGCTGCTCGGAGAGCATGACATCCCCCTGACCTGTCTGGAGCAAGTAGTAACAGGTATCTCATTACAATTCCAAATTTTAGGGAAAGAATTTTAAGGAAAAGCTTTGATATTCTTTTTTTTTTTTTTTCCTTTTTTTTCCTTAATGTTTGTGAGGAAAATATTCTTGGAATTGCTTGAGCCCAAATGAAATGTCTTGAAATCCCATTATAGCACAAATGTGAATTTTATTAATGATGTTAGGCCATCACTTTGTGCATTTGGCAACTGTGTGGTCACAAACACAGAAGCTTTGCCCACTCATTGTATAGGAGCACCTAGTGTCATTCCCTTTTTCCTGGTCAGTGATCTGATAGCAAATGATCTCATGGCTAATGCAGTGTTTAGCAACAATGCTACCCATTTTAGGATTAGCTTTGTTTATATATCTCACTGCAGTCCATTGCTGACACTGCAAGGGTGTCTGTCCAGAACAAGGTTTATTGTGTTATGAGGGTTTGTTTTACCCAGCTTGTTTTTGAGCTGTATGACCTCGGCATCTAAGGACACTATCACTGTGGGACAAGAGCAAATATAAGGGCATCGGGAGTAAAATAAGACCTTAATGCTGGTTCACTTATAAAATCAAATACTGGTATAAAATTAACTGCAGACATGCACTGTGATAGATGTGACAAAATGCTGTCAGCAGCACCGATGGTACAATAACACAGCGTCCCAGCACTACCCACAGGGCAGCCAAATAAAAATATCTGAATAAAATACAAATCTGAGCAGTTAAAAAGAAAGAGATGCATATATTTAATGAAATCTGGTCTTTTGTCATTATTTAATCTGAATATTGTGTCAAATCATTTTGATTTCCTTGACCCTGTTCCTCTTGTCATTATGCCATCAGTGTCATCATGCGGCAATATAAAGTAGTGACTTTAATAAGTTAGGTTGCTGAGGAAAGTAGTTCAAACGGCTTACATGGTGCTGTTGTATTATAGGAGAATGAGTACTATTAGAATCCAACTAAAGTTAGCATATCCCATAACCAACAAACATGGTTAAATTGTTTTAACCATGTTTGTTAGGTTCTTCATAAGAATCTAGTGAAATAAGCACAGTAGAACTCCATAACAATTAATTAAATTTAATCACAGTATGAGGGATCGGCATCAAAGAGGCAGCAACAGAGACAGGAGAGAATGGGACCAAAGTTTACCAAGTATCAAGTGGTGTCCTTCATTAGCAGTACACTCCACAGAATAGTACATTTTTGGAAATTCAGTCATCAAAAATTAGTTTTCTTTTTAAGTTTTGTGTTTATTCCTTTCAGTGAATGATACAAAGGGGAAGAAGAAAGTATTGGGCTCCAACCAGAAGCTGAAGTTCAACCCCACTGAGCTCATACTGTACTGCAAAGACTTGCGCGTGATACGGTTCTGTTTTGAAGAAGCTGGACCTGAAAGTGCCAGAAAGGTCAGTGAAACAGAAACATCTGCATGCTTTGAGTCAGAATGCCCATTTAAGCTGTTTAGGAGACTTTACTAGGTACATAATGCTAGTTTAGACCCCACACTGACATGTGACCCAAAAATTTGATATAGTGGATTGAGGTCTGGGGACTACGTGGGCCCTTTGTCTGCAGAAAGGGCATGTTTTATTGTGGGTACATTGTGGTCAACATGAGCAACATTAGGACTTGGCTAGGATGTGGCATCTAAATGAAGCTTGGTTGATGCTGTGGGGCCTGAATGGTGTCAAGAGAAATGTCTCCCTCATCATTACACCCCTACCCTCAACTGGGATTGTTCATACAATGCAGGGTTGAATCACACATTTAAAAAAAAAAAAAAAAAAAAAAAAAATTCTTGATTGTACTATCTGTCGCAGAGACTCATTGACCAGTACCAGTTTGTTTTGAGCATGATTCTAGAACCCCCCCCCCCAAGTATTATTTTCATGAGGAGTGATGGACATGGGGATCTTGGGAATTTTGGCAATTGTGACATGGTTAAACATTTAAAGAGTTAATAAGCATTTGAACAGAGTACCTAATGAGACACTCTTAGTATTTATTTTCTCAGAGCAAACAGGAAATTGTGGGTGGATATTTGAAGTGCTAATAAATTATATACAGTAACCAAACAGGATATTGAAACTACTATTAAACTAACAACTGTGTATCATATCAGTGATATGTTGGTAGTGGCGGTAGCAGCATTAAGAAAATGAGCAATGGCTACCTCATTTCCCACATTCACCATTTTCACCAAAGTTACCAAAGTTTACTGCAAGTAAAACTTTGACTTGTCACATTAATGTAGGTGTCAGATTTAAACAGTTGTTCTTTAATCATAGCCTTTAATCTTTAATCCCGTTCTTTAATCATTCTTTAATCAAGCCTATAAATGTATGCCTTGTATCTGAATAACTATTTAGAAATAACCTTTTGGTTTTCTAGTCTTCGATTTAAACGTTGGTTATTGTTGACCAAACGTTTTCTTTCCCATACTGACTACATACCCACATTGAGTTTCAAGTTATGACCACATCCTCTGTGACAGCAATATTTATATTAGACCAGGTTTTCTGTGTTTCTTTGTCAGCCTCCGTTAGAATAGGAACTTCTCAATTAGCATATTTGCTGAAGGTACAATACGAAAGGACCCTGAGAACAATACTCAGTCAAAGCAGAGGAAGCAGAATTTGATCCTGATTGTAGGAACGACTGGCAGTGTAACTCTGACTCATCTCCTGCACAGAGAACAGATGGTTCATTATTGATGCCCAGCTCATTTAGTAGAGCTACAGTTTGGTAGGCACCAAGTAGGCCCAGAAGCACAGTTGTGGAAATATACATGTTCTGTTTAAGGTTGATTATGTATAGAGCACTAAAATTAAAAATGTCTCCCCTCCTGCACTCCTTGTGAGCTTATTTATGGACACCGTGTATGTAATTACAGCATAAAACAGGACTTGGTTCTTTTTCTGACATATGGAATTATGCCAGCCTATAATGGCCCATTTTGCCATAGGAAATTACAGAGTGTGGAGCAGCCTTTGTATGCGCGCACACACACACACACACACACACACACACACACACACACACGAGGACAGACGCACGCACTTGTTCTGTGCCCTCTAGTATCATTCACAGCTTTAGCTCTGAATGACTTGCTTTGTATGACTAAAGTTGAGCCTCACAGAGATTCAGCTCTGAACTCAGAGCACTAGAATGTGTGTTAGACATTTTCTACCCCAGGGTTGACTGCTTGTGTTGCTATTATTTAAAAAAACATGCCTCTGAGTTAATGTTAGCACTTGGATAAACCTGGACTGGGAAGTTATGATGAAACCTAATCTGCCTTGACAATATTTATTATACCTCTCACTTCTACTTCTTTTGTACTGCATATCCCATAGTACTTAGTAGTTCTCTTTTTTAATTATAGGTTTGCCTGGCTATTGCCCACTACTCTCATCCAGCTGATCTTCAACTGCTGTTTGGCTTTGAGTATCAAGGACGGCGATACCATGAATCTAAAGGTATCGCCTGTGGATTGCTAAAGTTCTTTCACTGTTTGTAAAAGACCTGCCATATTATTTGAAAGTGATAAATGTTTTAATTCCATGTATAAATAAGTGTATATGTTTTTTGTTTTGTTTTTCTCTCAGAGGAACGAGTCAATGGTTCCACCCCGAGAGGATTACAGACCCCCATTTTTGACCGTTCCTCTGATTGGGATCGGGAAATCAAGAGAACGAATGCTTCAGAGTGGAGAGTGTGCTCCATCAACCAGAGTTATGCCGTCTCATCAAGGTTTTTATTTCATGCATTCAGTCCTACTTGTTACAAACTTCTTTTAAAATCATTTTTTGATGACATGTGACACAATGTGCCTTTTCCACATTATATTGAGGTACCTGACAAAAAAAACAAAAACTAACATGTCAGTCTGGTTTTGACAAAACAGTCTATTCATCTCAGTTCAGCAGCATTATCGCCAGAGATGGTTTCAAAGCATAGACAGTATATGGTCGTAGCCAGAGTGATATTGCCCTTTAGTAAGCCTGGAGAAGAGCGTCTTCACTGTTGTCATCTTGGTAGTTTTGTAATAGGACATGATGACAAAGGAGTGGCTCTGACTTGCACTGGCTAAAAACTTAGTTTACATGTCCTGAGACTGGAAAATCCTCCCTTTTGACTCTGTGATTTTTCAAAATGAACTTCATGTTTTATTCAGTATAACAGGAGACTAGCCATTGAGTTGTCAAGAAAGTTTTCAAGATCACAGAGGAAGGGAGCCAAATTCTGTTTTCAGTCAACTATTATAAAATCTAGTCTTTTAACCAAAGGAGTCGCCCCCTGGTGTTCATTACAGAGGATCAATTATTCACCAAGACAAACACACAACATGGGCCTGAAATAATCCAAAGCGATAGCAAAACAGTTCCAGTCCTTACAAGCTTTCACATTTATACTATACTACTTGAGAAATTTAATAGACCACCTGTCATAAAACCAAGAAAAATAATTTATTTAAAACTAAGAATGACATTGTTGTTTATTTGGCAATTAACAGACTGAAGTCCCATTTTTATACCCAGATTTAAGCCAGCACGCTGGACTTCTCTGCAGAGTCATCAAGTGTAATATTCAACCACTAAAACTAATTTTTCTTTTCAGAAATATGGGTAAATAATTGTAATTTGTCATCTAAAAAGTGCTTCACCTTTTTCTGCTTCTTTATAAAACTGTAAATGACATAATTCAAGTATATAACAATAATTGTAGTTTAACATTAAAAATATGATTTTAATAAAAGGGCTTGCACATACTGGTTGATTAGAAACATAAACAAATATTTTGAGATGTTGTTTTTTACCAATACTGTTAATTTAGGGCATCTGTGCCATATACCTTTATTAGATGGTGGTCTAATAAATTTGTTAACCACTTACCGGTATACCTTTTATTATTATTTTTTTTTCCACTCTGTTTTGGGTTAGTGTCTTAGCTGTTATTTACTTAATCCGCTTTAAATGAAGTCTTGTTTGTTTCATGTGTTAACACCAGTCTCTCTCTCTTTTTTTTTTTTTTTCTCTTTTCTAGTCTTCCAGAGCACATTGTAGTCCCGTCATCTCTGACAGATCAGGATCTGATGCAGTATGCATCATCATTCACTGATCATCGCATCCCTGTGAGCATCTACACTCCAACAGAGCGCATGTTTATCGGAAGTCTCCAATAAACGTTATGCTTCCAAATATAATTTCCATTTAGGTCATTATTTAACCTGCATTTTTTTTTTTTTAATTTTTTTTTTTTTTTTAGACAAAGCACAGGCCCACCAATGGAGTTATCCCACTTATTGTTTAATTTAACTGATCAGAGCCTCCCTATTACTTTGTTGCTGATCAGTGACTGTTTAATTAATGTCTGTTTTTTGCAGATGTGGTGCTGGAGTCACTCCAATGGGAGTGCTCTTGTCCGGATGGCCAGCTTAACTGATCCATTACAGCAAAAGAAGACTGAGCAGAAGTAAGACTATTCAGATTCAGAACCTAAATTGAAAATTATTTTTTTTTTTAATAACTCTAGCAGATTTTCAGCTCTCAGTCCATTAAGAAAGTGCTACTTTAGGAGAAGGAAATACAAGTCTGAACATTCAGTTTCTGCTCAGGTTTTTGATATTTAAATTGTTTACATTAGTCAAGTGTGCATCTTGTCATCACTGTCTGTGGTGTTGTGTTGTAGAATCTTTGCCGCTATCACAAAAAGCCACCCACAGCGCAATGAACCGTTTAGATCGGATCTGGACAAGAGTCTGCCTTCTATCCTGGACATCCAGAGCGCATTTGTTAAACTGAGGCAGATATGTATCCTAGGTGAGCTCCACTGCAGCTTATAAAAGCAGTGTAATTCAATGCTCTGCTGAAAAAATGCAGGAGACTTAATGGCATTGGCGTGTACAGTTTTATACGTATAAACGTACTAATGTTTTTTTATTGTGCAGATCCGTTTGAAGAGTCTGAGGAGAGGTGGCTTTCAACCATTGAAAACTCTCGATGGCTTGAATATGTCAGGTATGTAAACAAGCTGACAGTGCATCACTGTGCATTGTAAACTCAAGAGGGTCATATAAAATTTTAAAGGGACAAATTTAAAGTGCGCCATAAGGCTGCATGTTTGTAGAGTCACAGTTAAATCTAGAATATAGGATTAAAAGGTGCTTTTTAAAATGATTTCTTTACACTTTCATGTTTGCACAGGATTATTTAGATGCAGAAAAGACTAAAGGTATGATAATGGTTGACAATAAATATCAATGCAGTTAACATGTTTGTTTCTTTTGTGACCAAAGGGCCTTTTTAAAACACTCTGCTGAGATGGTCTATCACTTAGAGGGAGGGAATTCCTCTGTCATTCTTCAAGGTAAACTCTCTTTGAGCCTTATTTTGTAGCCTTCACTCCTGCATGTGGAGTTATGTTTTTCGATCATTTATTATATTATAGTTTATTAAGTTATATTAAGTTTTTCTTAAAATGTACAATAATATGCATTTAATGTATCAGTGCCACATAAGAGTCTGTGACTTATTACTCCTTTGTTCTGCACCTGCACAGAAGAGGAAGACCGAGACCTAAACTGTGTAGTATCCGCATTGATGCAGCTCATGTTGGACCCTCGCTATCGCAGCCTCATTGGCTTTCAGAGTTTGGTGCAGAAGGAGTGGGTGATGGCTGGCCATCGCTTCTTGGACAGATGCAACCACTTGAAGAAAAATGACAAAGAGGAGGTACTTGATTAATGTAATTTAAATTAATCCAACTATTCAAGAGATGTGACTTGACACCCCTGCTTCCTGCATCTGTTTTGTTTTTTTTGTTTGTTTTATGGGTAAAGTCCCCACTGTTCCTGTTGTTCCTGGACTGCGTGTGGCAGATTATGAACCAGTACCCAGCAGCATTTGAGTTCACAGAGACCTATCTGACAGTACTGAGTGACAGCATGTGGATCCCACTGTTCAGTACTTTCCTGTTCAGTTCATCCAAGCAGCGTGCCCAGCACTTGATGGTGAGGGATAGATTAATGTTTATGTATGCACTTGATCTGGATAAATGTAATCACCAGTGGAAATGCCATAATGAGCAGTAAATGCAACTGTGTGTATGTTTGTGAGAGAGGTCTGTCTGTGGAAAAAATAAATAAATGAAGAGGAATAATGAATTGGAAATGAATAGAAAAGAAGGAAAGCATAACTTGAGGATGTGTCACTGAATGTTTCAGACTGTAATTTCCTTCTGTGCGTGCCAGATAATTGACAGGAAAGAGTACAACAAAAAGAGAGGATAACATTTAACTTGTGGTCAAGACAAAAGCAAGTTGTGGACCTTTCTTTTCTTTTTTCTCCTTCTTACTTTCATGTATTGAAACTGTTCCGCTTTGGAAGCTGCTTTTTATAGAGTATAGTAGTTCTTATTACGTACAGAGTCACAGGGTAACATTGTCTTTACTCTGCAGGACTTTGCCAAGCACAAAGCCATCCCTCAAGGAGAAGACCAGGTTGTATATTTCCCTCCAGTTTGGGAGTGGTCACAGCAGTTCTCAACTAAAGATCAAACCCTCTTTAACAACCCCATGTATGTAGGCAAAGGAGCTGCCTGTGTTCAGAACGGTGAAGTGAAAACCTTCAAACGCAAGGTACGCAAAGCACTGAGGTTCACCACCACTTTTTTTTTTTTTTTTTTTTAAACTGTCATTAAGAGGTTGACATCTTAAGATTTTTAAAGTGGCAATTTTCTAACAGTCAGATTGTAATTACAGAATTCCTCTGTCATTTGAAGGGAAAGTTTCACAGAACTCAAAGAATGCAAATACAGTAGTCTCTCTTCCACTTATCTCTTATTTATAGAAGTCAAAGGACATGTAGGTAATTTTGTATCGAGTCACCTTTGTCCTCTGAAATATCTGTAGTAAATGTACAGAAGGTGGATTATTAAACAGAAAATATACATTTTAAATTGTCATTTTTAGAGTCTTTGCAGTACAGCCTGTCACAGAGAGAGTCAAAATAGTCTAATTCTCAGTGTTTCCTCTTTTTGTAGCAGAAAGCCTACAGTTCCACATTACGAGGGACGCCCACAAATCTGCGTAATGGGGTAAAGGGTGGGGAGGAGTCCCTGACCCGACGAAGCTCTCTAGCTAACGAGTTGAAGTCTGAGCTGACACCAGTGAAAGACTTAAGTCCATCTGAGCGCTTCTTCAAGGACTGGTTCTCTCGACCCGCTGACCTGCAGGGCCTGCTGATTCCCTTGCTCATGCCCTCTCATATGGCTTTTTGGAAGCTCTTCTTTCTCCGTTGGGTTCCTGAAGCCTGCATCTCCAAAGGAGGCCCAGTCACCACCTACCACAAGCTCTCCCAGCTGGTTGATGAAATTGAGATACTGCAGAGCCAACTCAGGCAATATAAGGGAACCAGTCCAGGCAACACACCACTCACCAGCTCAGGTGGAAACCCTACAGACCAACGGAGGATGTATTTTCAAGCCAGTTCTCCTGATGACCCCTCTACACCTCCAGAATGCCTTACATCTTCCTTTCCTTTCACCCCAACGGGCAACCTTTCCCGCCGCACTGTCCAAGGGACTCCCATTAGCAAATTTCTGAATGGTGCAAGGATCTGGCTCTCAACAGAGACTCTTGCTAATGACACCGTCTGAGGACGTAGGACTCACTTTTTTGAGCCTAGTACAGGTTTTTCTAACAACTCATCATCTTATTTTCTCTTACCTCTTTCTTAAATACCAAGAACTAAACTTAGAATTAGAAATATATGCCATTTTGGACTTATACTGAATTATTTATAAGCTAGAACTTGCGCCATTGATGCTGCATCCAAATCTGAGGTAATTTCTAGAGTAATGTCTGTAGCACTGAAAAATACATTTTGAGGAATTCAGTCTTTTAAGCACATCATTATTGGCCTTACCATGAGCTCTTGTATGACTGTGAAAGATCATAACTTTTAAGATGGATGTATTTTTATTTTTTGTCATCCATCTACTTAAAGAGTGCTTTTTAATACACCTTTTCTGACATTTACCTCTGATTTACTGTATGTTTTAAAGCAATAATGGAATGAGGTATATTTGTGATAGTGCTATGAGTTAAATTGTTATTTCTTTGGATTCTTATTGGTCAATAAGACGTCTCACTGAAATGGAGTAATGTTATATGAACTTTAAAGAAAAATTGCCCATTTTGTGTTGCAGCAGCAATGATGCTTTTCACTGAACACTGACTTCCAAGTAGTCAAGTTGCTTGTGCCTTCATGGAGATTTAATTGAAGATTATTTTTTTTAATTTATATTTCAGAAAGAGGAACAGAAAATAATACTGCTAACATGTATTATGCGTCAAAAAAAAGATCTGCCTTGGTTGAATGTAATGTTTTTTTTGTTTTGTTTTTCCTCTTGCACAAACTTACTGCTGTTTGCTACAAGTGCCCATATTTTAAGGGTTGTTTTTGTTTTCGGGTTTTTGCGATTGGTAGCAAATGGTGTGATTTCAGGGTCTAACTGTAGATTAACTCTATTTTTTTTGAAGCAGCAATAAGGACCTGTATTTTTAGTCTGTGGGGAAATGGAGCTGTGAGGACTTCAATCTGTGGTAGATATTTCCTCTTTTCTTACGAAGCAGTTTTATTAAACTTAGAGGCCTTCTGGTAAGGCACCAAGGAGAAATTCTTCAGAATAATAGTAGCTGAATGGTAATTTTTTTTTTTCTTTCTTCAAAGTAAAGGGATGGACAGATGCTATGACTCAATCCAGTCCCTAGTTTGGTAAATGATGAATCAGATATCAGGCACTGAGTCCAAGCATTCAGAGAGCATGACACAGTTTCAGGGCAGCACATTAGCAAGAAGTCATCTGGATACTGCAAAGCCTCATAAATGCATGTGCCTGTAATTTTGACTTTGCAGGGTTCAGTTGTAGAGAATGAAAAGTTTAAAAGCATGAACTGCACACACTGTTCAGCATACTGTATCCTTCCTCATTTCTCTTGATACATTTACTCTGCAGAGACTAATGGCAGCATTCGAAAACAAGAACTGAAGATGTAGTGCTAAACATGCCCCGCTGTTCTTTGTGCAACTGTGTGCTGTCTTGGCAAGTTTGGGGAAAATGTCATCATCAATGGCATCAGTAAAAGATCACTGTGTAATTCCTCTTTAAAATGTTAAAATGCCGTTTATTGTCAAACCCTTTGTCATTCGCAGTGGTCCTGCGATGCTGGATTGATCAGTTTCCAGTGATATGAGGGTTTTATTCTGCAATAACTAGTTCAGGTGTTTCTGTAGTGTATAATGTGAGTGCAAAACTGCTCTCCCAACTGCTATTAATTGCACAGTTTACTCAGTATATAGGATAGATTTGTTAAATATAATTTTTGGCAAATATTATAAATATTGTATATGCTTGAAAATTTCCAATTAATATTTTTGATTAATGGTACTAAATAACTTTTTTCCTTGATTTAGTCTCTATATTTTATGAAGAGATATTTATATGCTGTGTTATTTTTCCACTAATTCACAATGTTGCACTCTGCTGTAGCTGTATGATGACCGTGCTTCTTCTGTGGCACCGTTTGATATCGATTAACAGCAGATGTATTTATTCAGATATGCAAATGTTCTCTAAGAGGGATGGAGCAGCTGCTGGACGTCCTCTGTGCCTTTTTGTTTGTTTGTTTGTTTGTTTGTTTGTTTGTTTGTTTTTTGGGAAGATTGACCATTTTTGTAACTTTGTTCTAAATCTGTCGGCTTATCTTAGTTTTCTAAAAACTGTTGATTTGTACCAATTGTGTAAATTTAGTTAAATTTGGAGGTACTGCACTGAAGCTTTTTTTTTTTCTTCTTCATAACAGAAAATACAGCTCAAATATGTACTAGTAACCAATCATTACATTAGTTTGCAAATGAAACTGTGTTCTGGCTTTTCTATGACATGTTCATGACAATAATATGTCTTTATCACAGCTAATTTGAAAGTATTTGTTGTGGCATGAAAATTACCAAGTTGATATTCATGGGGAAAAAATCCATTAATGCAAAATGAGGAAAACAAACCATTCCCCCCCCCCAACAAACACCTGCTGGTTACCAATGGACACAAAAACTTTGAGTCCTCAAGTAGAATAAAAAAGAGCTGCCTAAGAGCCAGCGCATTTACCATCCTCTGTATGGTGTCATTAGTTATACATGGATTTTTAAAGACTTTATCTTAGTAGGATACATTCATAGATTTGTTATAAACCTTTTTAATGTTATTTGTTGATCAACAGATAGCAGAGGTCAAACACATTAGGTTGTCAAATAACATTATTTTATGTAGCACTAATTCTACTACACTTAATAGCATGTTGACATGGAGGCATTACATTTTTGTGTACTTCCATAACAATGAAACTAGTATGTGAAATGGCACAGCTGGAATACAAAAGGAGAAACTATATCTGAGATTGAGACCAAGCCTTTTAAGGAGGCTGCACTTCAGCTTAAGTGTCTCTCTTTAATCTTGGCTGAGGTTTTCCTGCAAGAGCATAACTCTGATTACCCAGAGTGCCCTTTGACAGTGGCTCAGGATAAAATTACTGATTACAACAGGTGAGGTGCAGTAGTGGTTAGTTTAGTGTCACTAATGCTGCTGTTACACAGCTCCAGAACTTTTCTCAGATGGGTTTTTTGTTCAGTAATGTTGTCTGGACCCCGAGTTGTGGTAGGAGATAGTCAGAGAACTTATAATCGTCATGGAATTTCTTAGAGAATATCTGCAAAACCAAACTTGTTGATAGAAGTATAACCTGGCGAATAGCTGGTTTGACTGATGATTCTGAGCCTTATTTTTTTTATCTAAAGGAGACCACTGAAGTTAATTTGGAAAAAGCTTGGAAAACAAATCCCAAATGCATGCCTTGGAACCTTTTAGATGATTGCAGAGTAATGAGAATTGCTTTTAGACGGACATCAGTCAACCACACTACAAAATCAAAACAATGGATAACCAATGGATCTTATGAGATACCCTCATTGACTACTAAAAAACTAAAAATTTACAGGATAAGAAGCAAAAAAAAAGTCAACATTGTTGTCAGTTTTGCATGATGTGCAGGATCAAAGGGGCCCTGAAGTAGCACTGTTGTTACTGATTTCATTGTTACAGGCTGTTGGCTGATTGTTGAAACATTATACAAACTTCTACGATGAGCTTAGGCTAGTGTGTTACAAAGTTTCCTTTTTTGAAAATACAAATTTGCTTGCTTTTATAGAGCATACATTCTTTCAGTTCATAGAAGTAAAAACACTGGTATAACTACCAGCATCAACAAGAGTTCTGCTCCACTGTATCATCTCACTGACAGATGCTACGGTAAGTCAGCCATGTGCAATGTAAGGGAACTGGAAATATCACCGCTTGCGTGTGAGCTTTACCTTTGAAGAAATGTCTGAAAAATATATTTCTTCTTAGAGTCTGTAAAGGCCTTGTGCTGGGGCTGGCACCTTTCAGATGTTTCCAGCCAATGTGGACACACCTGCATATTTTTACTCTACAGTCACATGCCTTTTGTTTAACTCAAAGGTGGATTATCAACATGGCAACACTTTCTGGTTTTCAGAACCTCCATGTTCGCTGCTTGTCAGTTCAGAGAATTTGCTCTTTTCATGTAAAAGCAAAGCCTTTGTTCATTTTTTTTCCCAGTCAAATCAGCATCTGCAGAGGAGATGACACAAAAAAAACTGCAGATCGTCATTTCAGGACAACAGGATTATGTACTGCTACTGTTTTTGAAATGAAACGGCTATTTTACTGCATCAAATGATTAAAGGTACCAAAACAAACGTATGAAGCATAAGCATTTAACTATTAATATACATAGGCTATAAAAATGACTACAATTAATGGAGGGTTTCTGATGCTACAGGAAATATGAAGTTACTACCTAATTGTAAATTCTATTTGGTGCATGTCTTCAGCTCCCCCTGCTGTGTGACACTTCGTATTGTACATTTAATTAATTTAGACCGAGGTTATTAGAGTTCACAACACCCAAATTAAATAGTAAGTGGGTATGAAAAAAACTGAAAATCCCAAAAACTAGACGTTACAAAAACATGTATTTATATAAATGACTGAAATAAGACACACCAGCATGCAGGAAATGTATTTAGTTTTTCTCAATTTGATCACATCTGTGAAAAATGGCTGGAATTGATTCACATGTTTACTGAGATTGGGATGTCTAAATGACTGTAGATAAAATAGTATTTTGTATACTATACCTGTTTTGACCCTCTCAGATTGTACCCCTTATAATATAACAATATAACTTCAGTCATATCACTGTAAAAACTAAAGCTAAGGCAGACACTGATCAAAACAAAGCAATAGCAAACAAAATGAAATGAAAATAACTGATACTAATATCTATATGTGCAATAAAGTGAATGAACGCCATGTTTTTTGGCTTTGATGTGTTGTGTTATTGCTGTTATTTTGAAAAAACTGGAAAAAAAATCTGCCAGAAAAGCAATTGTGAGTATCTGTTCGCACAGCATTAAAAGTAATATTATATTTTTCATGTGCAAGTAGGATAAAAACTTCGTTCTGCTGGTAGTAGTGCACGCCTAATCTAAGGGAGTAAACGTAGTGACGTCATCGTTGAGCGCCTCTGCTGGCCTTCGAAATGGGCTTGACTCCTGAGCCTTGATTACTTCAATTGTCCCCTCCGAATATCAACTTTTTAATAAAGAAACTCCTGTTCGCGATGACATTTGGAGGTATGTGTGCAGGTCGAGACGAAACACGGGCGTTTATTAGAGGCTCCCCGCGCGCTGCCATCGTAGTTATGAGCTGATGTGAGTCGAGCAGGGCTGGAGTCAGTTCATTTAGCTTTAGCCGTGGGGCTAACTAGCCTGAACCTCTGGGCTGATGCACAGTGATAAATTATAGCGATTGGCGTCGTGGCCTCGTATAACATTAGCTACCATTTAAACTCGTCGGCTACGCTTGGTGTTGCACTGCGAAGTGTCACACTGTCACTTCTTTCTCCTTAAAAGTAGGAATTCTAGTAGCTAGCTAACTTTAGCTAAGTCAGCTAACGGTAAACAAATTTCCCTGGAGTGTAGCGATAACAGGAAGAAAACTCTTGACTTGTTACAGCATTAGTTGAAGAGATGTTTCTAGATGAAAATTCACATTGTTTCCCGTATAGTCATGCTGAAAGAAGTCTGGATTCTGGACTTTGATTTATTTATTTATTTTTAAATCTAAGCTTTTTCAAATTAAGTGTGTGCTAAATTAGCAAATGTGCCTTTTAGGAGCTGTCCAAAAAAATCTGTCAGCATGTTTTAATCTCTTTAGAATGGGGTTGTGTTTGTATAGTAAACAAGCTGATATGCATTGCAACAGTTATAATTCCAACTTTATTACTACTCAAGTAGACATGGAACAGCTTGAATGTTTACTGGAGGGGGGCAGGGAGTGTGTGAATTGGATGTATTGCACTTAATTGCAGTGGTGTTATTGTATTAAAATGTGACTGTAAAAAGTAGTTAATATAAAAAAATGCTAAATTTTTGAAAATGGGGCATTAAATTACATTTTGTCAGTTAAGATGTTTATAGTTTTATATACATCTGTCTGTGTGTAATAAACAGTAATGAGTATTCATGTATTAGTACTATGTATGTACTGTTAATATATATGTCAAGCAGCTTAAGGGTTTGTTTTCCCAGTCAAATGGTTTATTTTTGCTTCTACAGATAGACATGATCAGAGATGATTAACAAAATTCTGCTCTTAGATCAGCATAGCTGTACCTTTCAAAGTGGACTAATTTTTGCCCATTTCTAGCTCCATATTTTCTTTTACGATTCTACTACAGTAACTTTGAATAATTCAAAGTTATGCTAACTGAACTTGTCAAACAGAGATAAGAGCAGAAAAATCTGTTTGAAATCAAGAGTTTTGAGTAGTCTGAAGCCTGAGATTTTTTTTGGTTGTACTCAAACTGATCCTTTTCTTTCACCTGAGATCAAGTACAATTACGCATACATTCAAAAACAGGCTCAAAAACGTTTTATTCAGACATTGTTTTATCATATTTTGCCGTTTTTACTTCCTGAATGCATTGCAAACCTGTACTGGGATTTTATTTATTTATTTTTTGTCTTCTGTGTTGAGCACATTGAGTTTGCATATAATAAATGTGCTATATAAATAAAATTGCCATTGCCACAGCAAATGCCCTAACCTGGTTGTGTTTAATATGCACATTGTGACTTTACTAGTATATATGAATGACCAAAAAAAGGAAACCATAAGAGGTTTGCTTTAGTGCTTTCTTTCTGTGGTTGAGGGTAAACTAACACAACTTGTGGCCGACCATAAAGCCTAAAAATCAAAGTTTTAAGCACTGATGCAATGAGACAGTATTATGTGTCTTATTTTATTGTATTTTTCTTTTCAGGTGGTTTGGTAGATGAGGTGAACCAGGTGATTTCAGAACTGGTTCCTGTGCGGGCTGACTGGCTTGCAAGTTTCAGTTCCTGTGCAGTACAATAAAGCTACTGGCTTTGTCTGAGGATAGCAATGAAACCAGCTCAGGAGCGTAATCAGGAGTGCCTGCCTCCTAAGAAAAGGGATCTCCCAATAAGTAACAGCAGCAGTGGAGCTGGAGGGACAGTGGGAGGTGGGGTTCCAGTCGGAGGGGCTAACAGCGGAGCTGGCAGTGCTGCTGGTGGTATTGCAGAAGAGGAAGTGGTTTCCATCCAGAATTGTGGAGCCAGCAGTGAAACTCAGGGAGGGACCCCCTCTGGAGAGTGGCTGCGAGCTCAGCCAGGGCTTCATTATGGAGTGGATAATTCTGACAGCATACCGGCAGTGCCCGTTGACCAGTACAGTATGCTCTACAAAGTGGCCCTTCCATCTGCTACCTACTCACCTACCAGTTTACACCCAGTGTTAAGCCACATTTCTCCAGCCTATACTGTACACTCTCCCCTCCTGCAGCATCATCCTGGCATTCCCTATCCCCCTCTTGGTTATGCACAGATCCCTCATTCTTCTCTCCAGTTTGTCAGTTCCCCTTATGCAGCAGTACCTTACGCGCTCCCCCCTGGTTTTGTCCCAGGATCATTAATCTCTCCCTCAGGGACCATCCCGCAGCCCCATGCTGTGTCCCACCTTGTTCCCTACCCATCTGTCATACAAGAAGGTGTTGTTTCTCCACCTCCTCAGGCCCAGGTGGCTGCTCATACCTTTGCCAAAGTTGCAGCTTCCAGTGGTGTCCCACTGATGCTGCCCTCAGAGCAAGCTGCCCAGCAGCACCTTGGTACTGTTGGAGTCCTGCCTGCAACAGAGCTTAGCTCCCGAGGGATGCCCATCTTCTGCCACCCTCAGGGAGCAAGGGGTGTCACTGCTGTCAGAGACTGCCACAGTTCCCAGCAGGAGAATGAATTGGAGGTGAATGGAGGGGACAAAGAGCAGGGAGCCAGAGAGGTTGTACCAGACTCGGTCTACACTGCCAGAAATGCACGTCTACCACAGGTTGCATCCAGCTCAGCATCACAGGAGCACAGCCAAGACAAAGTCCTGCAGAACCGAAGACTGGAAGAGAGAAGTTCTCCTGGTCAGCGCAGCACTCCGGACAGTGACCTGGAGGTGAGACACACTGATGGCTTTCTAACGTACCCTCTAACAGTGAAATGGTGATTTAATGCCTCTTTACAAGTTAATGCACAAAGAATAAACCAAAGTTAACAGTTAAATAAGAAGAGCCAGGAGTGATATAAGACGGTGTGTGACATTGTTCCATGTTACAGCTTAAGTTTTGTGTTTTACATGTACACTGAAGAGAAGCGTCACCTGATGCAAAGAAAATCTCACATTTGAACATGGCAAGCAGAGCATGACCAATAGAGAACACTTGAAGGGTCTAGAAATGATGTCCATGCAGATCAAACCATTTTACAGCCTTTCTGTAAAAGAAGTCAGAGGGAGCTCTATGGTGTCTGTCTTTTCTGACATCAGTTAAAAAATAATAATTTTGTGGTTGTTGTCTGGCCTGAAATCTCTTGTTGGAGAGGTTGAAGATTTAGGAACTCAATAATTAAAAGCCACTCATATTTTACACATTTGGTTTCTTCAGGCTGCTGTGAGGAAGCGTACCAAAAGCCATTTTTAAATTGTTCTGTGAAATTAAGTTGTTCAAATAACTACTCATTTATTTATTCAACTCTCAGGTGCAGCAGGTGGTTGGGCGTTTGGTTTCCTCTAACCAAAGTGGTATCGGAGCACGAAAAGAGGTCTCCTTTGCTCCCTTGAACCTCTCTCAGGGTGGCCACAGAGCCAGAGATGTCCACGGAGAGAGTCCAGGTGTAATTTCCAGCCGAACGGCGTATGCGGTGCAGAACGCGAGTTACAGTGATCACAGAGTCACCGCCCTCCAGCAGCAAGCAGGACAGCCAGGCCACGCTGTCATGCTTGCCAATGGGCAACCGGTACTTATTCCCTTGGAGTGTCATCCGCATCAGCAACCACAGCAACACTACCCGGGACAGGCTAATGATGCCTCAGCCAGCCATGCCTCTACCACACTGGCCTCCCCTAGCCCAAGCTTTAAAGCCTCTGATTCTTCAGCCAGAGTGTGCCTCTCCGAAAGGGTGGAGCCAGTCACAGCTCAGCAGCAGCCTCACCCGCAGCCTCCAGTCCAGCCTACAGCAGATGCGACTCAGGCCTTAACTTCAAGCCTTGCTCCCGCACCGGCTTCTTGCAACCCATCGCACTTCATGAAGGGGGCAATTATTCAGCTGGCTACTGGGGAGCTGAAGCGTGTGGAGGACCTGCAGACTCAGGATTTTGTGCGTAGCGCCGAAGTGAGCGGAGGGCTTAAAATCGACTCAAGCTTGGTGATGGACATCCGCGCCAGCCAGCAGAGACCCGGCCTGGTTTCACTTCATTTTACTGTGGGGGAGCAGCAGAGCAAAGTGACCATCGACGTGCCCCCGGAGCACCCCTTCTTTGTCTTTGGCCAGGGATGGTCATCTTGCAGCCCCGAACGCACGGCCCAGCTCTACGGCTTGGCCTGCCATCATCTACAAGTTGGTGACATGTGTGTGTCCATCACCCTGCAGCAGCAGCAGCAGCAGCCACCGCTTCCTCCACAACAACTGAAGCAACCACAGCACCATCATTCACAAACGCAACAACAACAGAACCTGTCCAGGACTATAAGCAAAGCCAATGCTATATCAGGACCTGGTCACCAGCTAATGGGGCCTCCAGCCCCTCAGCAGTCACGGCCACCATCTCATTTCAGGTTGGACCGCATTCACAGAGAAAGACAGAAGGATGGAGAGAAAGATTTGGCCGATAAAGAGGAAGCCATACAGCTCGGGGCTGTAGGCCGCACTGAGTCTCCCATCAGACCAAGTAGGACCTCAGGAGAGCATCCAAGGAGCCAGAGCAGTTACCACTTGCACACAGAAGGCTCTGCTTTTGCAGAGGCAGGGATGGGAGCAATGCAGGCTGCACTAGGTGCCTCACAGAGACGCTGGTCCTCGCCTGGCCTCCGGAGATACAGTATGAAGGGAGACGAAGGGCCACGCCCTCAGATAATCAGCTCCAGCCACACAAGGCCTTCTTTCATCCCACAGGAGGTCAAACTGTCCATTGAGGGGCGCTCTAATGCAGGGAAGTAGCATCACATTTGGTAGCAACTATAGATGAGACTGCCACAAGTAAGAATGAGTCTGACAAGGAGAGAAAGAGGGAAAAAAAAGAGTGTGAATGTATCCTCAGAATGTTTGAGATTTTGCACACCTAAAATATACAAAAAAATGACCAGATCTTTGTCTGTCTGGTGAGAAGTTTGATTTTGTTCGAATGCCACTCAGCCAAAAGATGCAGACCTTTCGGTCTCCAGCCAGCTGAGTTCATGGCGGCAAGGGAGGGGGGGGGCATAAAAAGTGGAGTAGAAAGTATGTAGCTGAAGAAATGCCTACCATAGAGTCCTTATACGCTGCATTTCTCTTCCTCCCTCCCTCCTCCCTCTCCACTTCCTCTTAACCATACTTGGAGGTTTCCATTGCATTCAAATCACTCTAGCTTCCTTTTTGACCAGACCGTCTCTTCAGAAGAACACAGACTACAGAAAAATAATATACGTGTATCGCAGTGAAACTACCAACCCTGCAAGTCGCGATCTATTAAAAAGATCACCGCCAGGGATCTTTAATCTGCTTCACTGCTAAGATCCTATTTCTATGAAAAGCACCCC